ATTATTACTGGCCTGGTTTGGTTGCCGATGTGAAGAAGTATATCCAGGCTTGTGATGTCTGCAAGACTACCAAGGCCCCCAATACAATCCAGAGACCGAAGATTGGAATTGCGCCCGAGTCACAACGTTTCTTCCAGAAATTATATGTAGATTTCCTGGGGCCATATCCCCGTTCAAGAAGTGGACATATAGGCATCTTTATCGTCCTCGATCACTATTCTAAATATGTGTTTCTTAAGGCAGTGAAGAAGTTGACCGCGGACGTGGTAGTCAAGATCTTTTTCATGCTTTCGGGGTTCCGGAGACAATAGTATCCGACAATGGCACACAATTTAAGTCTGAGGCATTCCAAAAGCTACTCCGGGAATATAAAGTTTCGCACACTCTCACGGCCCTGTACGCACCCCAAGCTAATGCTTCCGAACGTGTAAATCGCTCGGTGATTGCAGCAATCCGATCTTACGTGCGCGAGGATCAGAAGGACTGGGACGAGCACCTCAGCAGCATTTGCTGCGCATTGCGTTCGGCGGTGCATGCAAGTCTGAATGCAACTCCTTATTATATGGTGTTCGGACAGCATTTCATCACTTCCGGGGCAACATACAAGCTTCTGAGAGCATTGCGGGTGATGGATGACAGGTCAGCAGTTTTCTCGCGGGAGGATTCATTAGACTTGGTGCGAAGCAAGGCTCTAGAAGTCATGAAAAAACAGAATGATAAGAATGAACGGCAGTACAACTTACGGTCTAGAGACATATCCTACAATGTCGGCCAGGAGGTGTTCCGAAGAAATTTCAGGCAGAGCAATTTTCAGTCAGGGTACAGCGCGAAGTTGGGTCCGGCCTTTCTGAAGGCCAGGGTCAAAAAGAAAATAGGGCAGGCCTACTATGAGTTAGAGGATTTGCAGGGTCGTTACGTAGGACGGTTTCACGCGAAAGATCTTCGTCAGTAAGCCAACTGCTTCAAGCTCTCCTGTTATCATTCTTGGGAGTGTGACCCCCAAGCCTGATCTTTCGGGGGGGCTTTTGTAGCGCTTGTAGCAGGGAATGCTGAGTTTTTGTGGCGCCATCTAACGCTCAGAGTGGCAGGCGAACGACAGGTCAAGGGAGAACCAAAAAGACGGTAACAGGTCAAAACGTCAGGCTATCTCTGTTGAAAATGCATTCAGGGACCTGTTAGAGGATTTGCCGCCAGATCGTTGGCGTCCCTATCGGCTATTCCCTTGTGAAAGTCAGTTGAGTCGGTTGCGTATCGGTCCGACGGAAGGGAAAAACCAAGAATTTAGTGAAGAGGAAAACTCTAAGGAAATCTAAATAGCTAAATCCAAGATTCGACTGCGAGATTCTTGGTTGAAGGCGGGTGGGCTATTCAGTCGTCAGAAGCCGTATAGCGCTGAGTCCGGTTGGGGTAAGTGCTGCGGAGGAGAAGAGAAGGGCTAAGGGAGAATAAAGAGTTGTCCCATTTGTAGTCTTGGCGCTTAGTAAATTGAGGTAATCAGTGCGGATTCGATCGTCCAAGGAAGCCAGCCAGCAGACAACAGCAGCCGCAAGCCTAACAAAGCGGCGTTTAAATTTTTGGGACTGTCTGGAAAGCGCTCAGCCATCGGAGAAGCGAGCGTGGAAGCAGAGGGAGAAGATATTTGGGCAACGCTCGGTCCCCCCCAAGCGGCTAGCTTCCCGAGGCGTTGGCGTCGGCACTTTAGTAGTCGAGCGCGACGCGACAGAAAAGGAGGGCCCGTCCCTTGGTCGCGAGCAGATCGGCGGAGAGAAAGTGTTAATCTAGCACCGTCGGAGATTGGCCGTTTGGCCTTTTCTTTGCTTTCGCGTACCCTTCACCAGCAGAAGCAGGGGAAAGAATTTGTGCGGTTCCCTTTCGCCCAGGAGGTGGAAAGGAAACATAGATAACAGTCGGGAGAAATAGAATAGGGAAAAAAAGAGGAAGCAACGGATTGACAGAGTGATTGTATTCGTGTTCGTAAATGTATAATTAATTTTGATCTCGGTGCGGAGTTATTTAGGAGAGAATTAGATTTGATTCCGGTAGTGGCTTCTCGTGACTCTCGCCGATCTGCAAATATGATTTCCCCCCACCTTGTGCCATTTTAAGTGTTCTTCCACCACAGCAGCTTTAGGTATTCATCGAGGAAAGCGCTTTCGCCGATGGAGCCATAAACTGGAGAAAAGGTATGAGTGGACTTAAATTTTGTTATTAATAAAGTACAACTTGAAACAAGGGAATTAGGGCCGGTCGGTGAGCGGGAGGGAGAAGTGCCCACTCGAATTGGCTTCTGAACATTACGGAGTCAGCAAGCAAGTTAGTTTGTCCATTTCGGACTTATTTAGTATATCGTTTGTATTACACATAGCCAAGTATTTGTAGGAATTTTACACATATATTTTCATTTAGCTACTCTTTTAATGTGGGGAATTATATTATGGTATTCGCGGGTAATATTAGTGTTTTAGCCAGTAAGTGAATAAACTTTATAATGTATTAATCTACCGTTTTGCTTTCGCTGGCAAATTCCCCATGTAGGACGTCCCGGACAAAGGGGCCATTCCGTCATTAAATCGAACGGTTTGGAATGGCCATGGTAGGGCGGGCGACACGACCTCGACAACACCAGAGGCGGAGTTGAGATACCTTTCCAGCACAAATCCACAATTCTATCCAGGGATAAACAGTGTCTCCCGGTTAAGCATTTTCGTCGTGACACGCTACTTCATTCGCGGTATAATGCGTATAGGCCACCAGCAGGAGGGGGGGCAAGAACATCACTCCAATAGCCGACGAGCAGAGGCCGGAAACCCAAAGCGTGTGCTCCCCTTCGCTGAACAACAGCTAGCCTGGCAGGATTTATATACACAGACGTGCGTAGGTGATACGTTACACCATATTAGTTTCAGGCAAAAATATCGTAGACAATACTACTTTGTTAGAATCGTATCTCCTTCAAATTCTCCTCCTATTCAACAACACAATTGTAATAAATAATATAACCCACATAAATGATAAGGGTAAAATTCTAAAATATATATCGCATCATAGATATAGCGATTTTGAATTAGTTGATTATATACAATCGAATGATAAGCAATTTTCTTTTGATAATGTTAATATTTTAAATCCCCTTATAACATTAGGTAATACGGCCTTACCATTAACAACATTATTTTTAATCATTTTGATATTGTTAATGTTATTTTACTTCGGCTATAAATTAACCAAATTTGTACTTATTAAATCAATAAGAATACCGTCAGAAGAAATAGTGGAAAGCAACATTCAAATACTGTCAGAAGAAATTAGAGCTCTATCAGAACTTCAAAATGTATCGGGACGAAACATTTAAGAATGGGGGGAGTTAACGTACCCAATTCCATTGAGCTCTTATACGAGTTGTAAACAATCTTTGGCTTTCCAAAACGAAAACAATTTCAATCTTGGGCCTCCGCCTAATTGATTTCTAAGATGTACAATCTCAAGCGCCCCCGCCGCAATCCCAATCTTTGACACTCGCCTAAATGGAAAACCAATGTTTGCCCACACCCGGCTTCTCATAAACAATCTCACTCCCGGCTTTCTGCAGATCCTGCACTTTAGGCCTTTTACAGTTCTCTCTTTGGATGACGAAATCTAATACTCGGGATGGCGAAATCAATTGAAATGTTTATAGAAAAACGATTCCCGAAAGGGATCAACGATGCAAAGATCAGAAAGTTCAAATCAGTCTTGATCCAGCAGCGACACCGCAAAGTCTAGCTAAATATTAAGATCGCGCAATCCCTTGCCCGGAATTCCTTTGTGACCCTCTACTTAAATCTATATCAGTGAAGTTAAGTTCGAAGTAAAATAAAAACTTTTTAAAAACACAATCCGCTACCGCAGTTGTTTAATTTGCATACACTCGAATATATATGTATACAAAGAAATATATAAAGAAAATCTATATTAAAACCAAGCAAATTGTCCTTTACTTTCCTTTCCAGCTGATCAAGCCGATCAAAAAGGACCTGGCACGCCCCTTACTGGAGAATATCTAGCAGATTGCCGAATCTGTATTAGATCGGAAGGAAAAAAGAAATTGCCGCGGCTGAGCTCCCCTTCCACGCGCCCTCTAATTCTCTCTATCGCTCTATCTCACTCATCCTCGTGCAATGTGCATACTCTGGCAAAAGGGAACTAGATAAAACGGCTGTTGTTTGTGAGAGAATAGAAAAGAAGAGAAAGATTTAAGCAAAATTTCAAGAAAATGAAAACCGATCAAATCGAATATATATAAAAACGGTTCGAGCGATTACTATGAAAATTGTTCGTGGGAAAAAATCAATTGGCCCCTTTTGCGAACAGTGACAACCACATATAAAATTTATTGTATAAATAACATCAATCATAAGCTCACATTTGTATATACTAATTGAGTTCAGTAAAGCCGTGGCCCTTGCCGCGGCTCACAAAGTTCCCGCTCGCTTAAACTCTACTACTGTGTACAGTCCCCAAAGTATGACATACTTCTGGGCTGGCATGGCCCACTCACAAAATATCAAACATACTTTTTGGGCTAGCCAAAACCCTCAGCTCCGTTATTTGTGGGCCGATCCTGGCGTGCCACGAAAAGATGTCCCTGATTTGATGGAGTCTAGGAATCAAGGATATTTCCTTCAGTCGGGGCCAATCGGGCATGCCATTCTCTTCTTTTTCACACTCACGGAGACACATGCAACACAATAGCAACATGTTTAAAAAATCTAAATTAGAAAACAAATTGAGACGAAAAGAAACTTCTGCGGGCTCAGACATAGATATTTATTTACACATCTATTTAAAAGTATTTAAGTGTATTAATTAATTTTACAACCAAGAAGCAAGAGAACAACAACCAAGAAACACTTGAACAGAGCCACTTAAAATATGATAATGAAGGAGTCGAATATTGACGTATGAAGTATGTAAGTGTTAAGTGTAGCTGTCTGTAATTATTAATTCGATCCCCATATATCCTACATCTCGTCCACCTTGGTGGCCATGTCAATAAGCAGCTCCAGATGGGCATGCAAGATCTTCACTTGCTGGAGTGCCTTCTCGTCCAGTTGCATCATAATGTGCTTACTGGGCACGGTCATTTTGTAGGGCCTCACGGTGATCACGCCACTCTCGCAGTAAATGTACACATCAGCACAGTCATCCCAGTTTTTCTTGAAAGCCAGCGGGCTGCCGGCGTCGGAGCGCACAAACTCATCGGCGCGCGGCCAACGTTCGAACACTACGGCTGGCACATCAAAGGGGTTATCCTGGTCCAACGATTGTTTGAGGGAGTGCGGCGACAGGGAGCCTTGGGAGCCCTGGGGACTGCCGCAACGTTCGCGATCAGGGGAGCTGCTGCGAGCTCGGCTGTGTGGGGGCTCGGTACCTGAAAAGGATATGGTGTGTATTGCGTTAATGTATTACAAATCATTTGCATTCACTCACCCTCCCCCATGGTATTAGTGTCCACTTGATTAGCGCACTTCTCAAGCTCATCGGTCTCCTCCAGAGCAGCTTCGGACATGGTTTGAGCCTCCGTTTGGTCAGCTGTCTTGGTCATCAGCTTACGACGTGAAGCTCGGCGGCGAGGCATCTTTCCTTCTATACTGCCGATTGAATTATGAAATTTGTAAACGTATGTTACTTGTTACAATAATTTACGGGCTACTACGATGAACTTTAGTTTGAACTTGATTTTTGTTCAATATATTCTTCAAAATATATTGTTCAAAAATATTTTTGTATTATTACTGCCGATTAAATTATAAATTTTTTTTAACCTTTCCGTCTCTACTGCCGATTGAATTATGAAATTTGGAAACCTATGTTACTAGTTACACTAACTTACGGGCTACTACGATGAACGTTAGTTTGAACTTGATTTTTGTTCAATATGTGATACAGAATTTGATTGATAGGAAACGGGGTAGCCCCGGTAATAGCACTCATTAGTGCGTAATTTTCGAACTGAACCTAATGGAAACCTACTTAAATAGGTGATATATGATTATAATGACTTAATGAATCTGCCAAATCTGGTTAGAAAAAATATTATTTTATGGTCATTATCTATGATTCTGCGTTTTTAGTTTTCTCAAATCTGCAATATTGTGGATGCAACAGATTTTCGTCCTTTGTGGGGGCGGATGGGGGTGGGGCGAAATTCTGAGATATACGTTTTATAGTGACATCTTAAAGGAGTGTGTGCACCAAATTTGGTTACTCTAGCCTTAATAGTCTCTGAGATTTGTGGTTGCCTCAGATTTTCGTCCTTTGCGGGGGCGGAAGGGGGTGTGGCGAAATTTGGACAGGAAACGGTCAAGGTCCGATATCACAGGAGTGTGGATACCAAATTTGGTTGCTCTGGCTTTTATAGGTTCTGAGATCCTTGAACTCATATTTTGCAATTGGCAAAACCGACCATGAAACCTGTGTGTTAGAGTGAGACAGAGCGAGAAAGAGTGAAATTGTTTTCGTGATTCTGGCTGTAATAATTATACGATCTGGTTCAGATTTTGCACTCTAGAAGATATAGTCATCTTCTACGATTCTGCGTTTTTAGTTTTCTCGTATCGTCGAAATTGTGGATGCCACAGATTTTCGCCCTTTGTGGGGGCGGAAGTGGGCGGGGCAAAGTTTTGAAATATTTTTGGAGCAGTGACATATCACAGAAGTCTGGATCCAAAACATCGTTGCTCTAGCTCTTATAGTCTTTGAGCATTAGGCGCTGAAGGGGACGGACAGACGGACAGACGGACGGACGGACAGACGGACAGACAGACAGGGCTCAATCGACTCGGCTATTGATGCTGATCAAGAATATATATACTTTATAGGGTCGGAAACGATTCCTTCTGGACGTTACACACATCCACTTTTACCACAAATCTAATATACCCCAATACTCATTTTGAGTATCGGGTATAAAAATAATTCCCATGCATTTTACTCGTAAGTAAAAAGAAAAGTCTTTTTTTCCCCGAACGAAACACGTGGCTCCGAAAGAACCTCTGGATAACATTCTTTGAAATATCGAATTTTCAAGATGTTATTCTCTCGTGTTCTGTCCTTCAATATTCTGTCCTCAAAACAATTCCTCTACTCTGCCTCAGTTTAATTCCCAACGATGATATGGAGGACTCCACCTCCTCGAAGAGCGATGGCGATGGCTCGGACCAGGAGGATGGCATTGGGGGCATGGGCATGGCGGAACGTGAACGTGAGCCCAAGCTGCGCCAAGTGGAGGACGACGAGCTGGGGGATGGTCTCAAAGTCACACTCTCATCGGACGGTTCTCTCGACACAAACGACTCGTTCAACTCACATCGGCATCACCCATTGAACCATCAGGATGCCATTGGCGGCATCATGGGAATGGCCCCCAATGCTCTCTCGTCGGCCCCCGTGACCATTGGCGCCAGCACGGATCTGTTGACTCCGAATGCGGCAGCCACACGGCGACGTCGCAAGTTGCCCGAGATACCAAAAAACCAGAAATGTAAGTAGAGAGAATCCTTGCCCCATTCGTAGCTGAAATCTTACCCACTCATGGCCTTGTTGCAGCTTCCATTCTGCATCTTTTAGGTGGCACTAACTACGGATCGCTGGCCGATGAGTTTCGAACTGGAGGCGGCGGAATCATTGGAGGTCCCTTGGCTGCACCGCGCACCGGACAACAACGCTCATTCCTCTCGCTGAAGTGCGGCTATCTAATGGATGAAGACTCCAGCCCCGATTCGGAGCGGCTGCAGAGCCTGGGGGATGTGGACAGTGGCCACAGCACAGCGCACTCCCCGAATGACTTCAAGAGCATGTCGCCACAGATCACATCGCCCGTCTCCCAGTCACCGTTTCCTCCGCCATTTGGTGGCGTGCCCTTCGGGCAGTTGGAGATGCTGGAGGCCACACACCGCGGACTGCACAAGTTTGTGCCACGACATCATGACGAGATCGAGCTGGAGATCGGCGATGCCATCTACGTGCAGAAGGAGGCCGAGGACTTGTGGTGCGAGGGCGTGAACTTGCGCACAGGAAGGCAGGGCATCTTCCCGTCGGCCTATGCCGTCGACTTGGACTACAACGAGTTCGATCCGACGGTGCAGCTGGTGAAGAAGGAGCGCTATCTGCTTGGATACCTCGGATCCGTGGAGACGCTGGCGCACAAGGGCACCGGCGTGGTCTGTCAAGCGGTACGCAAAATCGTGGGCGAATACGGTGCCTCCCCCACCGGACAGACCTGTATTCTGGAGGTCTCCGATCAGGGACTACGCATGGTGGATCGTTCGGGCCCCAATGTAAGTACTGAATGTCGCTCTAACTGTTAATGAGTCATCCTTCAGGAAGCCTTTGTGTTTGTTCTCCCCTTAGAACAAAAAGGAAAAGAAGCCCTGCATCGACTATTTCTACTCGCTAAAGAACGTCTCGTTCTGTGCATTTCACCCTCGCGATCATCGCTTCATTGGCTTCATTACGAAGCATCCCACAGTGCAGCGCTTTGCCTGCCACGTCTTCAAGGGCTCAGAGTCCACCAGGCCAGTGGCCGAGGCAGTTGGGTAATGTTTTCATTCAAATCAAATGCTCACAAAGATAAACCTTAACATATATTCTTGTATCCTTCCTCAGACGGGCCTTTCAGCGTTTCTATCAGAAATTCATTGAAACTGCTTATCCCATCGAGGACATCTACATCGAGTAGGATCGGGCACGATGAACATACGATGTATTTTTTGTGCGGTTATTAAATAATACAAATAAAATTCTACAACAAATGTTTGCCCCTTCATCAAAATAAGAAACTTATAACCAATTTGTATAATCCCGCAAGCTCCATTCAAAATTTGAATACATATATGATTTATCTGTTCCTACAAATGGTGCAACATCCGAGACATGTAAATAGTTAATTTTAGGTTTGTAAATCCCACTCTTGAAACCGCTTCAAGGCAATCAGTAATAGCTTCCCTTTCTAAGAACACACTTTATAAACGAGGACCCAGGATATCACACAACACCACAAATAACTTGAACTCCTGTAAACACTTTGGACAGCCCCAATTTCAGCACAAAACACAGTGAGGCCAAAGTAGTGTCCCAAATTAACAAATAATTACTTCGATTTCTCTCTCTGTTACGAGGCTCAATAATCCCAAGACCCCATCCTCAAACTCCCTAAGTATTACGAGCATCATTCAAAGCCCAGTTTTAGGATGTGTTAATCCAAGCAGTTGTGTGCATACACTCGAATATATATGTATACAAAGAAATATATAAAGAAAATCTATATTAAAACCAAGCAAATTGTCCTTTACTTTCCTTTCCAGCTGATCAAGCCGATCAAAAAGGACCTGGCACGCCCCTTACTGGAGAATATCTAGCAGATTGCCGAATCTGTATTAGATCGGAAGGAAAAAAGAAATTGCCGCGGCTGAGCTCCCCTTCCACGCGCCCTCTAATTCTCTCTATCGCTCTATCTCACTCATCCTCGTGCAATGTGCATACTCTGGCAAAAGGGAACTAGATAAAACGGCTGTTGTTTGTGAGAGAATAGAAAAGAAGAGAAAGATTTAAGCAAAATTTCAAGAAAATGAAAACCGATCAAATCGAATATATATAAAAACGGTTCGAGCGATTACTATGAAAATTGTTCGTGGGAAAAAATCAATTGGCCCCTTTTGCGAACAGTGACAACCACATATAAAATTTATTGTATAAATAACATCAATCATAAGCTCACATTTGTATATACTAATTGAGTTCAGTAAAGCCGTGGCCCTTGCCGCGGCTCACAAAGTTCCCGCTCGCTTAAACTCTACTACTGTGTACAGTCCCCAAAGTATGACATACTTCTGGGCTGGCATGGCCCACTCACAAAATATCAAACATACTTTTTGGGCTAGCCAAAACCCTCAGCTCCGTTATTTGTGGGCCGATCCTGGCGTGCCACGAAAAGATGTCCCTGATTTGATGGAGTCTAGGAATCAAGGATATTTCCTTCAGTCGGGGCCAATCGGGCATGCCATTCTCTTCTTTTTCACACTCACGGAGACACATGCAACACAATAGCAACATGTTTAAAAAATCTAAATTAGAAAACAAATTGAGACGAAAAGAAACTTCTGCGGGCTCAAACATAGATATTTATTTACACATCTATTTAAAAGTATTTAAGTGTATTAATTAATTTTACAACCAAGAAGCAAGAGAACAACAACCAAGAAACACTTGAACAGAGCCACTTAAAATATGATAATGAAGGAGTCGAATATTGACGTATGAAGTATGTAAGTGTTAAGTGTAGCTGTCTGTAATTATTAATTCGATCCCCATATATCCTACATCTCGTCCACCTTGGTGGCCATGTCAATAAGCAGCTCCAGATGGGCATGCAAGATCTTCACTTGCTGGAGTGCCTTCTCGTCCAGTTGCATCATAATGTGCTTACTGGGCACGGTCATTTTGTAGGGCCTCACGGTGATCACGCCACTCTCGCAGTAAATGTACACATCAGCACAGTCATCCCAGTTTTTCTTGAAAGCCAGCGGGCTGCCGGCGTCGGAGAGCACCAACTCATCGGCGCGCGGCCAACGTTCGAACACTACGGCTGGCACATCAAAGGGGTTATCCTGGTCCAACGATTGTTCGAGGGAGTGCGGCGACAGGGAGCCCTGGGAGCCCTGGGGACTGCCGCAACGTTCGCGATCAGGGGAGCTGCTGCGAGCTCGGCTGTGTGGGGGCTCGGTACCTGAAAAGGATATGGTGTGTATTGCGTTAATGTATTACCAATCATTTGCATTCACTCACCCTCCCCCATGGTATTAGTGTCCACTTGATTAGCGCACTTCTCAAGCTCATCGGTCTCCTCCAGAGCAGCTTCGGACATGGTT